TGCCCGGCTAATTTTTGATTTATTGTAGAGATGAGGTCTCGCTGCCCGGGCAGGTCTCGAACCCGCGGGCTCAGGCAATCCACTCACCTCAGCCTCCCAAAGGTGCGGGATTACAGGCTGAGCCACCGAGCTCGGCTGATATTATTTATATCTATTTAGTGCTTTAGAACTGCTGGCTATAGCTCTGTGATGGTTCCTCACATATGGGACAAACTTTTCAATTTACATAGAATGCAAATATACTAGTCCACCGTAACATTTCTCAAACAAGATATTATTAGTTTTTAAAATGTCTAATAAATGGGATAGAAAAAAAGATAGAACTACACCAGCATAGCTTTAATTATTCCTTAATTACTATTTAAATTTGTCATTTTCTAGGCTTTCTAAATTATTAATATATTTCCAACTGTGTGGATTATTGAATTTAGCATCACTTGTTTATTACTGGGAGGGGGGATCTTAATGTTTTTCTTTTACCATTTTCCATGAACTCTTTATTATTTAAAAGCTATCTATTTATTACATTTATTGTGAATCATTTTATCTGATCTTTTCGTTTCATTTTATAAAAGGCTTTGATTATTGTTGATCTTTACCACTGTGATTTCGTCATTGCTGCTGTTCAAGATCTTTTTTGAGGGAAAGGACATTCAATTTCAACTACTGATCCAGTTATCTGGAATGGCAAGATAATATATTTACAGCATTTTACAGTTTACTGTGCTTTAATATGTTAATTTACCAAAAATATATCTTAGAGAACAAAGACTATTATGAACATAAAGAGGCCGAACTTGGTGGCTCAGCCTGTAATCCCAGCACTTTGAGAGGCTGAAGCAAGTGGATTCCCTGAGCCTGCAGGTTCGAGACCCACCCGGGCAACTTGGTGAGACCTCATCTCTACAATTAAAAAAAATAAAATTAGCTGGGTGTGGTAGTGCACGCCTGTAGTTCCGGCTACTTGGAAGGCTGAGGCGGAAGGACCACCGGAGCCCAGCAGGTCAAGGCTGTGGTGGCTGCGAGCGTGCCACTGCACTCGAGCCTAGGCGACAGACAGAGTGAGACTCCAACTCAAAAATAAACAAACAAAAAAAGAAAATAAAGACATTTTATAGAAGCTCAGTATATATAATTATTTCTCAATTACCTATAATTATAAGAGGCTCATAGACTAGATACTTGGGACTCATAGAAAATCCAAAATATTTCGGTCAATAATTTAAACTTATTTTTTCCCTAAATCACATAGAATTACCAAAAAGTATTTAAGCTACAGACACGGTTTTCACCTTACTTTCTTGTCTTTTGATCACCCTGCCTACTGATTCAGGTGCCTAAGAGAGGATGCTCGCACCACTTCCAAGCACAGAAGTGTCTGCTGAGCACCATGCTCGTCTCGAGTGTGAACTCTCACTCAGTCTCAGCACTCTGTGAAGTAGGTTCTCTTTCTTAAGCCCCTTTTACAGACGACATGTTTATCAAGTGGTAGAGACCGGACTGGAACCCAGAACAATTTCCTACAGCGGCACACTTAAACAGGCCACCCTAGAGGAGAATCTGAAGCACTACATATTAGACAAAGGAGAAATTAACACATTTTAAAAACAGAAGAGTTTGAAAATGATCATTTTAATTTTACCAATGATAAAAAAATACATAATTTGGTATTTCCAACAATGAATAAGTCAGTGCAATATCCATAATTGAAACGTCTGTTTAGTTGTGGCTTTGCCTATGGGGTCAAAATATTTTCACCACAGAACAGAGAAGAAAGCTGATTATTCAGAAAAGAAAAACATTTATGACTTAACACAAATATATTACAGAAAGGTCTTACAAAAAGTAGACTGGACCGTACCATGAGCCTTGGCCCACTGTAGATTCCGCACCAGAGATTCTGCAGAATATTCCGCTCCCTGTATTGGATCAGTAAGTGCTCTCTTCTCAGATAAACTACTTCGAATCTCTAGAGCCTGCTTGCCTTTGGTGAGGTGACATTTACCCATATCTAAAATATAAGAAAGTATTGCTTTTAAGACCATCAATTCTTTTGTGATATTTTAAACATTTAAGCTAAGAACTCGCTCATAAGTCAGGTTATATTCTCAGTATAATTCGTTCACCCAACAAATATTGCCCTGAGCACCTACTATGTGCCAGGCATGGTTCAGGTGCTAGGGATGCAGCAGTGAGCAAGCATATAAAAATTCTGGACCAGTTCACTTCTAAGGGTCCCTTTCTAGCTTCCATCTTCTATAATTCTATTAACATATCCCTCATATCCTAAGCCTTAAAATCTACAAAGAGATAAAAGTACACCTCTATTAAAAGTGCAGCCATAATAAATTATATATCTATGAGCAAAGTTAAAGTAATGTGCCCCATTTTTCCTTGGGGATTTTTATTTATTTATTTATTTATTTATTTGAGTTGGAGTCTCACTCTGTCACCCAGACTGGAGTGCAGTGGCATGCACCCGGCCACCGCAGCCTTGCCCTACTGGGCTCCGATGATCCTTCCGCCTCAAACTTCCAAGTAGCCAGAACTACAGGTGCGCACTACCACGCCCAGCTAATTTTTGATTTATTGTAGAGATGAGGTCTCACCAAGTTGCCTGGGTGGGTCTC